GGGAAAGAGCCTAGGACTTTTTGCTCAGATTTTAATAGCTTTCTGCAGAGCCTCCGGCCCCGGGTATAGCTGGTTCAGGGAGAGGAAAACGGGCATTTCTCCACCTAGGCATGACATGCTCTGCTCTGGAGAAAAGAAAAGGAGGTTTTGTGTTCCTGTGAAGGTCACCATTCATGTTGATGGAAGGATGCACATGTGACCTTGGGATCGAAGCCTGTCTGGTCTCTCAGGCACTGGGGCAGGGGTTGTTTTTGCCCTCCATCCCGAAGCGTTCACTAGGCTCCGGTTGTCTCCCACCCCTGGAACAGCCTTTTCTCTTCCAGTTGCTTGTGCGTGCCCAGGAAACGCGGGGCCTCTAGTTAACGAAGCGAACCTGTCATTTCGGCATTTCCACGGCTGATGAACTCAGTGCCGGGCTGGCCGCAGCCTGGCCTCCACTGGCCTCGCTCCTCTGGCCTGTAAATTGCACTGCGCATAAAAGCCATGACGTACAATGTTAAGAATTAGAATTTTCCTTTTAGGGCGAATTGTGGCTGTCTCTTTTACTTGCCAAAGAGCTGACATGAGGAGCTTACAGTTGCACCTATTTCCCCCAAATTGCACCAACATGACTGAAAGGAGGAGTCAGGGCTCCCTGTTAGCATCAGCTGCAGCAGACTGAGCCAAACGTGTGGGACAAGATGATGTTAAGAGGTGCCTGGAGATGCAGGACTCCTGCCTGGAGCCCCCCCTTCCCTCCTTGCTCAGGGTGCGCCTGCCAGGGTCACTGAGGGGTTGCTCAGACGTTTCTCCATGCATCACAACCTTCCCAAGGCAGGGTATTGCCTGGCAGTCACAGTCCAGCCACGGCCTGCCCCTCCAGAATAGGAAATACTTAACGAACTCACCCATTCCCTTCCTTTTTGGAGCTCTGTCCACATGAAGCAGACAGGGAGCTCCCGTTGTTCTTCAATTCAAGGGCTCGGGACCGACGTGACCCATCTTAAGGAGACCTGCTCTGGGCTGGGCAGGGTGTTCAAGGAAAAGCCCATCCCAGGATTTTTTCCCATTTCCAGTCCATGTGCTTCCATCGCGGTGTAAGACCAACCTCTTCCTGAGGTCATGGAGGCCAGCACAGAAATGTCATCAGAAAACCCAACTTCTCCCAACTCCCAAGTTGTTCTTCTACCTGCCCTCTCCCCGGGTAGCTGGGCATTGTTATTCCAGGAGCTGTAGCTGCTTTGACTGATGTGAGGCCCGATGGTTTCCAAGAAAGACAAGATGCAAACCAGATGGAGCCATCTTCAGATCAACAGTTTTGGTCAGCAGCAAGAGCTGCAGGAGTTGCCTGAGGTTTCCACAACAGACGTTTGAGCATGGACCTGGAGCCACGTAGGCAAAACTGCTGCTGGAGGTGCTGCTCTGACACAGATCATGAGCCAG